GAAGTTGACTTCCATGATCCTCTGGGACTGATGTTGGGTGAGCTCAGTTGCATGCCACTGCCATTCCTCAGCGATAAGAGTCAATTAGTTATCTCTGAAAATCTTATTGTTACGCCTAATTAAATTCAATAACACTGTAATCAATAAGTACTGTTTGTAGATTCAGGTACTGACAACGGTGACCGAGGAAAAAGCAGTAACCAGAGATATTATCTGAACATGATATGAGAAGATCACGTTATTGTAGGTCATGCAAGTCCATTAGACTATAAATTTGCCAGTGAATTTACTCGTGGATTAGAATTAAAAGTTTAAATAATGATATATTTATAAAAATGTCAGTATATAAATAGCAGTTATGAAATTATAGATTAGAAAAAAACATGATTTATTTGCCAAACTGCATGACTGCGATGCCGCTTTGTCAAATAACCCTAATTTAATTAGAACTGTTTGTAGATTCGGACACTGACAACGGTAACCGAAATAACCAGAAACTGATTATCTAAACATGATGATCAGAAAGGATGTTATGATCGCAGATCCTGTAAGTCCTGTTATGGGATTTCAGACTAAAATTTACTCGTGGGCCGGAATTTTAAAAGAATGGGTTAATAATAAGATCTTTGTTTTAGTGTTAGTATAAATACCAGCTATTTGCTTCATGACTGAAGATTGGTCGCGTCGTTCAAATAAAAACATGAAATTAACTTAATTAACATTGTAATCAATTAGCACTGCTTGTAGTTTCGGGCACTTTTACAACAGTGACCAAGGAAAAAGTATTAACTTATTAACTTTGGAGAAATATTATCCGAGCATGACCCGAAAATGTTCTTTGATTAAAGGCTAGGTCATGCAAGTCCAGTGAATCCTTGTCCGTATAAGGAAAGAGATCAACCTCGTTTCGGGGAGAGAGAGAGCCTGGAACGAGGTTGAAAAGAAACTACAGTCAAAATGATTCATTATTTGCTCTCAACCAGCTTTATATTCGTAGTTTCAAATTGCAAAAGATAGTCTCTCAGCTCATTAGAAATTTTGACTTAAAAAACCCCTCTGCAATCCTGGTGGCGGCCGTTATAAGTGTCCAAAGGACAATGACGACTTATTCACTTTACAGTTTCTCATATTTTCGACCCGTTTCGTGATATTTACCTATTGCGGATGAACGAGTATTGACTAATGTAAAAGGAAGCAATTATGTCCTTTTCATAAACGATAATTGTGTGTTTGTTTTGCGCGGAAAAAAGGCGATAAATGATAGCAAAAGATTATTCCAAAGGATTCTCTGGAAATGTTTAGCGATAGAGGTAATTTTCTTCGCCAACACCACGGTCATAATATGGAACTTAACAAAAAAAAAATTCTCAAATTGCGGTCAGTGGAAAAACTTCACGAGGCTTGTTCATTGTCAGATAAAACTGAATACTAATTATAGTTAATTCATCTGCACCAAAGGAGGCTCACTTTGAGTGCATTTCCTCGTTATCTTAAGTTTAAATGAACCACTGGAGATATCAGCAACCGTACAAAATTAACAGTAAACAATGTTAATGGCACTCTGTCACGCCTCCGTTCAGTGTATCTCGTTTCAGTCCTCAATCGTACAGCATAAAAAGATCGGTTGAAAACTTAGTTCACATCGTTCCTCCGGATCACTTTAGTCTTAAACACGGCTATATAATTTCTTCGCTGCTCCTAGTTAGCTTTAGTCATGATGAACGGCAAACTTCAGGTACTGATTTTTACACTTGTGCTACTGGCCGGTATGTTTGCTGTAAGTGAGGGTTACTTTGGCGGTGGAGGTTCCGTCGGCAAGAAAAAACGATCGAATCTTGTACAGGTAGGGTATGCATTTGCAAAACGAAATTAACACCTAACGGAGTTTTAAACTTTGTTTCCAACTTGCTACAACTAACAAAAGCTAGAGATGAAAACTTGATCCAGTATGGAACTTTTCCTCAAAAAAGAAAAAAAAAACTCTCCTACAAGTATTTTTCTTTCATCGAGGTAGAGATGCAAGGTTCCAAGATTGCAACGGGAAAATAAGATCACATTCATTCATGGCATGCTATAAGCAGGGGCACCAGTACAGTACAAGCTAAAATTAAATAAGCTATATTAAAGAGACCATTCCGGAGAATTTCACACGACTGCTCAATAGATTCGTCACCAGTTCTTCGGATTTTCTCAAAAGATCTTTAAACGACTTTCAAGGCTAAAATAATATGCATTTGATGTCACCGGTTTGTCGAAGTCAGTTTAAGCTCAGTTTTACAAAGAACTTTTGTCAGTTGAAGCCAAGATGACGTTTTGCAGTACAGTAGGACTTCCCCGCCCAGTTACCTGAACAACACGGAAGTTAAAATGTTTCGCGTTATTTCTTCGAAGTCTCGTTAGATCTTTTTGGTTTAAGTCTGGTTCAGGGTTCAACGGCAGTCAACAGAAAATCTCCCTACCGTGATTTTGATTCTAAGTTTTATCTTTTTGTCACAAGGTGCCGCAGGAAGACAGTGCATTCCCGCGTGACACAAGAAATCAGGAGGTAAATTAATGTTTATATATAAATTAACCATTAACCCCGTATGTGGTAATTGCGGTAGTGAAAAAAAGCCTCTATTACAGAATGTTAACCCCAGTGCCACAACAGGAATCAGGGAGCATAGCTTTTTCTTCATTGACACCGTAGAAATACAGTCGCTTTTCCTGAAAGGCCTTGTCCCTTGTTTATCAAATTTGACATTTGTTGACCTGCAGGACTGTTCAAGAAACTGGTAACAGAATAAGAAAATAGTTAAAACGAAAACCTTTCCCGCGCTTGGCACCAGTTACAAGTTTTCCGCCCCCGACACCTTTTACATGTTTTCCTGCGCTTAGCACCAGTTACTTTTTCCCGCGCTTGGCACCACTGCGTGGTTTTGTTTCGAGCTCTAACGATTCATTGCGCTAATTGTTTGTCACCGGTCGGTGTGATAACTTTAGTCTTGATGCAAGGATGCTTGTTAGAAACGGGTCTTTTTTGTCTAACTGTTGGTTGTATTCCTGTTTGAAGGATTATGAAGCGGTGCCTGAGCGAAGGAATCAGATCTGCGAGACCTGTAAGAGTCTGTTGAAAGAGTGTTCTCCCAACAAGCACAGCTGGATCGAAGGAAATCGATAGCATAATCGTAAAAGATTAACGTGCAACCTGTCTAAAATCAATCCAACAATGTAATTGTGCTTAGATCCACTTAGCTAAGTTTGTGGCTCAATAAAGGATGAAAATCTCAGGATCTTTTCGTTTCTCTTATAGCCGGTTTCACTTTAGTACGGACTGTTAAACCTGGAAATAGAATCCCCCAGATCGGATGACATCATTTCTTCTCTTAAAATAATTTGAACACTGGCAAAATGTCCGCTAGATTTCGGTCTGCGTGCATTTTACAGAACACTACTGCTGCAGGTAGTAACCGGTTTAAGGTGTTGGTTTTCAAGACATCGAAAATAATCACAAGGCGGGATAAAATGCTTTAATGTTTCATATTCAAATGTTTACATTTTCAAAAAAAGATAGCGACTAAAATCAACTCTATGAGCAAATTGGTGTGTCTCAAACAAAAAAAACAAAAAAAAAAACGAAAACAAATAATAATTATAAGATACCACCAGCACAAATGATCACGCGAGAGCAATTAAATTAAACAGTGGATACAATACGCGTCATTACTCTTCTCTAACGAAACCATTTCTACTGGGGCAATTCTTATCTATCCACCCCTGTTTGGCATCCCAACCCAAATTTTCACAATACACAAGGAACTGCCTCTCTTGCTAAACGAGGCGATGCGGAATATCTTAAAAGTACACAAGGAATTCTTAGTCTATAAACCCTTATTCTTTCCGGAGAGTCGCCNCCCCCCACGAAAATGTGTTGCGCGCGACACACTCGCGTGGGTTGCTTAGTTCATTTTACGTTCAAGTGGGCTGTCGAAGGAAAAGGTGGTTTGTAGACTACCGCTTCGCGGCGTTGAAGTCCGAGAGAAACAATTCCATGTCGCACAATCCATCACACTTACATCATAGTTTGAACAAAGAAATTTGATCCGCACTGACAGCCTCACAGAGACGTTTTTTGGGATCGTCACGCCCTCTAGCGAGACGAACCCCCGAACCGGTCTGCGCTGAAGGCTATATTAACGATTGATACTAAAAATATACAATGACGATAACAAATGTGAAATAATCAATGTCTTTGGTCTGTGTTGTGGAGTCACATCGTAAAATCTGTTCATGAAGTGGTCGCAGTGCTAAAGCAATCCTAAAACTCGATCTCTGCGGAGCTTGTTGCTGGGACGTGTCCATTCCCAAAACAACCATCGTCCAAGTAGGCAGGCCTCATTCAGTCCGTCAGACAAAGCGTCGAGTGCATAAGCCGTCGTACGCATTCTACGTTCTAGTCAAACGTCTTGCGACAATACGTCGCCGGTTCAGAGCGTTCGTGTGAACAGTCAGCACGTTACACGAAAACCGTCGTCGGGACAGTTCGGAATAACGTCGTACGTTCGTTAACCCGTTGCGTTTGATCGGGCAGAGACACAAGTCTCGTAAGGTTTGTACCCGGTTAGTGTACAACAGTAATGTCACGTAAACCCAGTGTAGGGAGGGCAGGCACAGTTGTGCTACCGCTTGGCGCGTCTAACAGCCTTCTTGAACTTTCTCTGGGCTATAGCCGGGTTACTGGGATCTCCTGAAGCACCCGCGGTAAACAGGGAGCCGCCCGAGGGAGTGACAGCACCCCCGGCAAAGTTGAACATTCCTGGACCCGCATTGTTGTTATTAGCCGCCGCTGCACTGAAGTTAAATCCACCGGGGACTGGAGCTGCTATGCACCGAAATAATAAACAGAAGGAACGTCAGCTTCCAATAACAAACAAACATTGCTTATCAGTAATGATGTAGTCTGTCCACAGACGTTTAATTCTTTTGCAACGAGTTATTTTTCTTTGAGCGCGCGNCCCCCACGAAAATGTGTTGCGCGCGACACACTCGCGTGGGTTGCTTAGTTCATTTTACGTTCACGTGGGCTGTCGAAGGAAAAGGTGGTTTGTAGACTATCGCTTCGCGACGTTGAAGTCCGAGAGAAACAATTCCATGTCGCACAATCCATCACACTTACATCGTAGTTTGAACAAAGAAATTTGATCCGCACTGACAGCCTCAGAGACTTTTTTTGGGATCGTCACGCCCTCTAGCGAGACGAGCCCCCGAACCGGTCTGCGCTGGAGGCTATATTAACGATTGATACTAAAAATATACAATGACGATAACAAACGTGAAATAATCAATGTCTTTGGTCTGTGTTGTGGAGTCACATCGTAAAATTTGTTCATGAAGTGGTCGCAGTGCTAAAGCAATGCTAAAACTCAATCTCTGCGGAGCTCGTTGCTGGGACGTGTCCATTCCCAAAACAACCATCGTCCAAGTAGGCAGGCCTCATTCAGTCCGTCAGACAAAGCGTCGAGTGCATCAGCCGTCGTACGCATTCTACGTTCTAGTCAAACGTCTTGCGACAATACGCCGCCGGTTCAGAGCGTTCGTGTGAACAGTCGGCACGTTACACGAAAACCGTCCTCGGGACAGTTCGGAATAACGTCGTACGTTCGTTAACCCGTTGCGTTTGATCGGGCAGAGACACAAGTCTCGTAAGGTTTGTACTCGGTTAGTGTACAACAGTAATGTCACGTAAACCCAGTGTAGGGAGGGCAGGCACAGTTGTGCTACCGCTTGG